TGGTATCGGCCCTGAAAAACACATATCGGTCGACCCCTAAAGACTAATACATCATTCAGTACTGTAAAGGGTCCACTTTTATTTGAGTGCACTCACAATATCAAAATGTTGCTTTTGTAAAATAAAAAAAAAAATGTAAAAACATAGATGCGCTTTCCGCGGTCTCACAAAAATGAACCAAAACTCCGCGAATACTAGCATCACAGACATGACAAATACATCTATAGAAAGCTTTAAATGACTACAAAACGAAATAATTCAATAATTCGCAAACAAAAACTCTTTCATTATGTAATCCATAAAGGCACGTCCAGTGAGGAGATGGCGAATCAGGATGGCCAACTTCATCTTTGCAACACTGAGTGCGGAATAGAATAGGCTAGGTATAGCCTAAATATTAAAGGCACATTATGGTTTAGTATTTATTACTACTACTAGTCGACTAGAAAAATCTTTTGGTCATGGGCAGCCCTAGTTTTAATCCAGTCCTTTTTTCTTCTACAACTCTTCCAGCTGCGCTGAAGGAGCGCTCACTTCTATTGCCGCTGGTGGGGACACTAAACACCATCTGGGCCGGTCTTGACAGTTGCGGTAATATATGGTCTCGTGTCGTTTCCACCAGCGCTGCGAAAAGGTTTCTCTCCAGTATGAATTATCTTGTGGTCATCGAGGCATTGTTTATATGTAAAACTTTTTCCACATTGAGAACACGTGTAAGGTTTCTCTCCAGTGTGAATTCTCATGTGGCTTTTAAGGCTTGGTTTATGAATGAAGCTCTTTCCACACAGTTTGCAGGTGAAAGGCTTCTCTCCAGTGTGAATCCTCATGTGGTCAATGAGGTGTTGTTTACATGTAAAACTTTTTCCACATTGAGAACATGTGTAAGGTTTCTCTCCAGTGTGAATTCTCAAGTGGCTTTTAAGGTTTGATTTACTAATGAAGCTTTTGCCACACAGTTTGCAGGTGAAAGGTTTCTCTCCAGTGTGAATTCTCATGTGGTTTTTAAGGTTACCTTTTCTGTTGAAACTTTTCCCGCACTGTTGGCATGTGTAAGGTTTCTCTCCAGTATGAATTCTCATGTGGTCATCGAGGTGTTGTTTATGTTTAAAACTTTTTCCACATTGAGAGCATGTGTAAGGTTTCCCTCCAGTATGAATTCTCGTGTGGTTTTTAAGGTTTGGTTTATTAATGAAACTCTTTCCACAAGGCTTTTCTCCAGCTTGAACTCTCATGTGGACTTCAATATTTTCTTTTGTGGTGAAACTTTTCCCGCACTGTTGGCAGGTAAAATAACTTCTATTTGCTGTCTTTAGAGCTCTTTTTTGTGTAGTCTTTTCAGTATGTGAGCAACTAAATGATTTTTCTCCAGTCATGAAATTATATTTCTCATGCTGAACATTATCCTCCTTTTCACTGAGTTCTTGACTCTCCTCTTTCAGTGTCATCAGGTCTAATGCATAAAAGACAAATCCAGATTAACACCATTTTTAATGGCACAAAGAACAAACATCAAAACCAACAACATGTAGATCTTATACACACTAAGCTACAAAAGGAAGTGTTAAATGAGATCTTAATTTCTTCCCATTATTCGAAGTGATGATTAAAAAAAAAGAGCCACGATTGTGTAATCTTAGTTGCATATGTTTATATAATGGGTCATGTGATCTCAACATGTCTGTCCACACAATGTAGGGTTGCCACCTGTGCCTTAAAATACGGAATCTTCCCATATTTAAAGGTAAATTGATGTGTCCCGTATAGGGCTGTGCGATTAATCGAAATCGTCATAAAATTGCGATTTGAGCATGCGCGATTTCTAAATCGCTTTATAGCACGATTTTCCGACAGTATGCTATCCGAACCAATCAGAATGCAGCGCGCCTAAATGGAGCACGAGAACAGAACAGACCGGGCGGGCATACAAACGTAACGCCAGGTTCACACTCTCCGTCTGTGGTGCGTATTTTTGTC